CAGGGAATCTGACTGGGGACATGGCATTTCTCAACCAGACCTGCAGGATGGAAGGGTGCAGAAAAGCTCAAGACGGCTCTGGACACAGTTGGTTTAGAACATGTAGGAACTCTCCAGACCAGAGTGCTGAGTGGACAGTTCTTAGACAGATGCAGCCCAGGGCTAGAGACAGGAACTCTGCAATCATCAAAGGCCTTAGAAAAGGCTGAGGAGGCCGGGCGTTGGTGGCACACGCCTTTAATCCCAGCACTCGGGAGGCAGAGGCAGGCGGATCTCTGTGAGTTCGAGGCCAGCCTGGTCTACAAAGTGAGTTCGAGGCCAGCCTCCAAAGCCACAGAGAAACCCTGTCTCGAAAAACCAAAAAAAAAAAAAAAAAAAAAAAAAAGGCTGAGGAATACCTGTCAAATCAGCCAGAGGTGGGAAGATTGAAGGGCATGGCATGAATGGCACATACAGCCGCAGGACAGAGTCAGTGGCCTGGCACCTGACCTCAGGGTGCATCACCAGGGACAGCCAGACGGTGGGTCACTGCTGCTTCTCAGAAGGACTCAGCTGGTGACCTGTGAGCTTTTTCATCTCTCCTTTAATGTCCGAGGTATGCCTTAGGAAGGTCTCAGGAAAGCTGTTGTGTTCTCCTCAGCACACACCTGTGCTCAGGCTGTCAGCAAGAGTCAAGGGGCTCTGGAAGATGATTAAACAGGGCTGGGGGTGTAATGTTGGTAGAGTGACTGCCTCACACACAGAAAGTCCTCTCGCTTCGGTTCCCACACTGTGTAAACTGAGCGTGCTGCTGGCACACACCTGTAATTCCAGCAGTAGGGAGGTGAGGCAGGATGACGAGGGGTTCGAGGCCATCCTCCACAATACTGCAGGTTCAAGAACAGAGTAAAGGATGATTGGGGGACTCCACAAACCTTGCCTTGGGTTACTGCGCATGTAAGCTTGTGCAGAGCTGGAGACATGCTTCTGAGTGAGCCTCTATGTTAGCAGCTCCCTTTTCCATGTTGCTGTCTAGATGGCCTGGGCAACTGTTGGAGTTTCTCTCTTGATTTATTTCGTGTGGGTTTGTGTAGTTCTCATGAAGTACATTTATTAGCATAATGTCACATCATATTTTCACTCAGTTAAAAACTCAGTCCTTTAATCCCAGCCCTCAGGAGGCAGAGACAGGTGGATCTCTGTGGGTTCTAGACCAGCCTGGTCTATAAGAGCTAGTTCCAGGACAGCCTCCAAAGCCATAGAGAAACCCTGTCTTGAAAAACCAAACAAACAAACAAACTCAGTCCCAGTCCAGGCATGGTGGTGTGTTCCTGTAGTCCTGTCTACTCAGAAAACTGAGGCAGGGTGCTCACTTAAGCCCAGGCTTAGAGGCCTGTCTGGGAACAGATGGGGACAGAGCAAGAGCCCATGTCAAGATGGGGAAACAAGCACTACCCTTGGGAAGTTCAGTATAAAGTGCCAAGGACAGCAGAGGCCACTTGAGGCATGTCCTGGGGATGCAGCCTAGCAAGGCTCCACTACTCAGAACTTATGTTGTAGGTGTCACTTTTTTTTTTTTTAAGTTTTTGCTGTATGTGTGTGTGGGCAGCATTCTTTCATATGTGAGAGTTTTTTTTCAGCATGTATGTGTATGGTGCCTGTGGGGGCCAAAAGAGGGGGTTGAGACCACTGGAATTGGAGTTATAGGTGGTTATGAGCTGACCAGTGTAGATGCTTTGAACTGAATCTTGGACCCTCTGCAAGAGTAGTGTGTGTTGTTATCCACTGAGTCATCTCTCCAACCTCCTCTTTTTCTTGTAATAGCATCTTATTTAACCTCATGTCTTACTATATTCTGTATGTGGCTTTTTGAATGATGCTGTGAGTTGTGTTTGAATGGACAGTCTGGTGGTATTAAGTATGCTTACATTATTGCTTGGCTGATCTCTGGCACCCTTTTCGTCTTAACCCTTAAATCATTAGTTGGTTTTAAGTGTAAACAAAGTTTTTGCAAAGATAATACAAGCATAATACTTGATTGGTGGTAGTAACTTTTTTTGAAAGAGTCTACCAGTAAGCTTTAAAGTAAGATTATAAAATGTCAAATGGTTTACTTGTAATTTACATTATAAAATCAGAAAGTCTGTATGTTTGTGGGACACTTGTGTGTAGGGGGGGAGAGGGAGAGACTTTTGTTTTTTGACCTGATGCGGTATGATATCGGTACAAATAGCTGCATGGGAACCTGTGTCAGTTGGTGACAAGGCTGTAGGATGCTTGAGCTATAGACCCCACTACTTCAGGGTGTAGAGCCAAGGAGACTGAGCTATGGTCACTGCAGAATTCCAGCACTGGGCTATTTAAGAGCACACAGCTAACTAAACTCAGCTCACTGAGTGCATAGAGAGCTGCCAAGAGCTTGTCACTGTTTTTGAGACGTGGCACCCTTGCGCCAGTAACAGGCCCACAGTCTTAGCATTGCAAGGGATCACCACAGTGTATGTTCTCCCACCTCTGCCTGAGCTGTGGAGGGACTTCCAAAAACAGGAGCCAGTGGGTTAAACTTAAAAGGGACCTCAGGACAAGCAGAGATATTGCACATGTGTTCCGGAGACAGAAGCAACAGAATAAGGGCCTGTGTGTGTGGTTTTGGGGTGGCAAGACCCAAAAGTCCACAGGGCTCAAGTGTGTAGGATGAGCTAATAAATAAGCTCAGGACCATCAAGAAGCCTGGTTCTCAAGTCATTGTTGGGGCCTGTCCATTGCCTTGGTGCCCCTAACAGGAAGGGGCAGATCCAGCTTCCTTCTAACACCTTCCCAGCCCTGACACTGCATGAGAATCTGGGAACAGCAGTGTGAAGAAGCTTGTGCATGGCCACAGCAACGATCTTTTGAATCTTTGTAGTGGCACCACTACCTCTGGAGGTCACAGAAGTATCCTCTCTGGGGTGAGAACTAAGGTCTTAGGCAGTATCACATGGACTAAGAAGTCAGAGGGAGGGATGTAACAGCAGATGTCCCCTCTCTTTGGATCTAGCCTCAGTCATTTTTGTTGTGCCCACTCCAAGACCAGGGTTTTGCATGTGCCCTCTGATCTGTTCACCAGTTAGTCTGTTTTGGGCCTTGCTGTTGATTAAGTTGTGAGTGATGCTTTGTCCACTATTGTCAGGTTTTTAGTGGGTCTCCAAGTTACTGGGTTAGCTATAGCACATCATGTTTCTTGACCAAACAAACACTTGAGTGCTCAGGGCTGGGAAAACAGACGCCAGCGAGAAGATCTGTCTTCTGTCATGAGCACCTCGCTGCCAACTGTGCCATCTGCAGAGATGTAGTGGGTGTTCTGTGAGCAGGGGTGGAAAAGGCACCTGGCCACGTGCCCTGTGCAGATACTTGGTTTTACTGTTCCTGTATTCCAGTCTGGTATGTGACACTGAACTGGGATGGCACTGGATACTTCATGTGTGTGACTTGCCTGATAAAAAGCAAGTCAAACCACAGCTGTGTCATCAGCATGTGGGGATTACACATCTTCCCAGTCTGAGCTGGAAAGGCCATCTCCCCCCCTCTGGGTCATTAGTACACCACTGTGGTGTTTATCTCAGTAGCAGCCATGTATCGCCGAATCCACAGTGTTTCACTATGCCACTGTGTTCAGATGAACAAGTGAAAATCAGCAAGATTCCTTCGCTCCTATTCCCTAATGAAGAAGAAATTCATTCCCTGTGTATCCAGCATTGCTAAATGAAAACCCTGTTACTTCATTGAGCCGTCTGTGCCAGTGCTGGTTTTGAACATTTTTCAAAGAGAAGATGAGTAGGGCTAAAGAGTTGTTCAGCAGTTAAGAGCGCTGGCTGCTCTTAAAGAGGACCTGGATTCAATTCCCAGCACTCACATGACAGCTCACAACGTCTGTATCTCCAGGCCCAGGGGATCTGACACCCTCTTCTGACCTGCAAGCACCAGGCACACACATACATACAGGCAAAACACTCATGCACATAAACAAACAAACAAATGTATTTATATTTTTGATTGTGAGCCTAGCCTTTAATGGCTAAGCCATGTCTCCAGCCCAGTAAGTGCATTTGAAGAGTTTAAAGACGAGATGGGTACCTTTCAGGGCTGATGTTAGCACAGTAGGCTCTTGTGCTGTCCTTTGTGCAGAAAGTGAGCAGGAAGCTGTTGATTATGGGAAAGGCCAGAAGCAGCTGCAGAGACATTGGCCTTCTGAGCTGAATACAGTAGCCCCATGCTGGGCATGTGGACAGCACAGTTTCTAAAGTGAATAGTAGAGTGAAAAGATAGATTCCAGAAAATGTCGTCAGTGACCGAGCAAGGGGGAGTTAGGGAGTTCACTCACTCCATAAACACAAGTTACCTGACCAGTCATGAGGGAAGAGGGCCATCCATCAGTTATTCCTGCAGAGAGGGGTTTTCACTCTGAATTTAGAGAGGGCTTTCCTGTCTGCCCTTGCTGCACAAAGAAGGTGGGTTTGCTTAGAGAAAGTCCTCCTTTGCGTCTGTTGGCTGTCTGATTGTCCCGGGAGTGAACCGATCAGACACAGAAAGAAGCAGCATGATTGCGGTGGGCAGAACAGGCGCTGCACTTGCCAGGGTCTCTTTCGTAACCACTTGCTGAGTTATCCTGTTGCGTTAGTTCCTGACACATTGCTATGATCAGATATCTGACAGAAACAAGGGAGAGGGAAAGTGGGAGGAATCTGTTTTACCTCACAGTTTCAGAGGGGCTCAGTCCACTGTGGAATGTGGGAGCCTGAAGCAGAGGCTTTTCACATTGAGGTGGAGCAGAAAGCAGAGAGCCAGCCAGACCTAGGAGCCAAGAAATGGCTATCAAAAACCTGCTACTGCCAGCCAGGACATCTCCTAAAGGTCCCATGACCTCTCCAAATGCCCATAAGCTGTGGAGCAAGTTTCTAAAACATGACCTTGTGAGGGACATTGTAGATTCAAGCTGTGACATCTGTCATTGGCCTTTTGCTCACAAAACATGTTTCTTACAGCAACTGTGGCAGCCATGTACTACAGCTACTACATGTTACCAGATGGCACCTACTGCCTGGCACCACCCCCACCTGGGATTGATGTGGCCACTTACTACAGCACCCTTCCTGCTGGAGTGACCGTGTCCAGCTCACCTGGTGTGACTACCACTGTACCACCACCTCCTGGGACCACACCTCCACCCCCCCCCCAACCACAGCTGAAACAAGCAGCGGGGTTACCTCCACAACCACCACCACAAGGTAAGTGCGCCACCTGCTCAGCATGATGGCTGCTGTAGTTCTTGGTCTGGATTGCATACGTGTGTCTTCATAATTAGTATGCTGTTATTCATATATTATTGCCACACACCCATACTCATAGCCTTTGGAAAGCTGGAGCACAAGGATCAAAAGTTCAAGGCCACCACTAGGCAGGGTCAGGCAATCTCTGCATTCAAGGTCATCCTGATATATATAGTGAGGTCTATGTCAGCCAGAGACGCACAATGAGTCCCTGTCTCAAAAAAAAAAAAAGAAAGAAAGAAAGAAAGAAAAAAGATAAGTTCAAAAAGCCAGCTAGATGTTACATTACAAGTATTTCATGCCTGTAATTCTAGCACGGGGGGAGGTAGAAGCAGGAGGGTCAGGAATTCAAGATCATCTTCAGCTATATAATGAGCTACAGAGCAAGACCATACTTCAGTATCAAAATTGGCTTTTTTGGTTTGGGTTTGGGTTTTTCGAGACAGAGTTTCTCTCTGTAATAGTCCTGGCTGTCCTGGAACTTACTCTGTAGACCAGGCTGGTCTTGAACCCACAGAGATCCGCCTGTCTCTGCCTCCTGAGTGCTGGGATTAAAGGCATGCGCCACCACTGCCTGGCCCCAAAATGGTTCTTAAGCAGTGGAATTTAGCCACCTGTAGATGTGGCTTTGGGGCAGCATCCTGTATCCTGGGCTGCTCTTGTGCAGTGTGTTAACTCCTCAGCAGGGCAGTGTTCGGCAGAGTTCACATGGGGAGGGCTGAACAGGTCAAGCTAGTAGGGTTTCATACAATTGGTGAGGGGAGGGCTCTGTTGGCCACTCCTTAAGATCTCCAGTTACACAGTAGGCATCTAGTGTAAAACCCAATGATAGCAGGACAGGGGTGCTCAGCACCCTATGGAGGGCCCTCTGTGTGTGTCTCAGGTCTAATAGAGACTAAAGCCTCTCGTTCTAATCATGCTGAGAAAGTCAGATGTGGGCTGTGCTATCACTCAGAAGCAGATCACGACTAGCCTGGCATGTGGGAGGAAGTGGGGAATGACATCTAGGGCCATATTGCTGAGAAAGTAAATGGAGTGAAGGATGCTGAGCCATGCTAGCCAGCTGTTTTAATGACTTTTCTTTTCTTTTCTTTTTTTTTTTTTTTTTTTTTTTTTTGGTTTTATGAGACAGGGTTTCTCTGTATTGTTTTGGAGGCTGTCGGTCCAGCCTGGCCTCGAACTCCCAGAGATCCGCCTGCCTCTGCCTCCCGAGTACTGGGATTAAAGGCATGCGCCACCACTGCCCAGCTGACTTTTCTTTGTTTTGTTCTAAGAAGTAGCTCATAGTTAAAAGGGAATGCTGATTAGGAGGAAGGATGAACCTATCTCTGAGACTTGACGTCATTCTTTAATAAATCCCCACTCTCCTCTGGGTCCTGGTTTGGAAATGAAGTCTAGCCGTGTAACCCAGGCTCCAGTGTTGGTCTTACGCATAGCCTCTTACATTGTCACTCTGACAGCGGTGTTCTGGACCCTTTTAGTGCTCATGAGCTGGCTTTATTAGCTTAGGAGGTTCTTGGCTTTAGACCAGCAGTTCCCTATCTGTGGGTCTCAACCAACCCTTTCACAGGGGTCACAGATCAGATATTTACATTACGATTTATAACAAGCAAAGTTAGAGTTATGAAGTAGCAATGAAATGATTTTACAGTTGGGGGTTCACCACATAAGGAACTGTATTAAAGGGTTACAGTATTAGGAAGGTTGAAAACCACTGCTTTAGACCAAGAGTCTTCCTCTTACATGGCTGAGCCGGACAGGACCTTCCAGCTGCCATGGCCGGACTGAGCCATGCTGAGCTCAGGGTTGCTCACCCACTCTTCTCCACAGTGCGCTTGCTCCCGTGGCCATCATACCCCCGCCCCCTGACATCCAGCCTGTGATCGACAAGCTGGCAGAGTACGTCGCTAGGAATGGCCTTAAATTTGAAACCAGTGTTCGAGCCAAGAACGATCAGAGGTGAGGTGAAGGGGTTTGAGTGTTGGGCTTGGGCGTGGTTCAGTGCCAGTGTTTGCCTGGCATCCTTGAGTTTCTGAGCTCAAGCCCCCATATTGTAAGAAGCTCAAAAGAGTCTAAGCATGTCACGGTTATGAGATTTGGGGTTTTCATTTAGCATTCTTTAAATCCTGTCGCTATTCCTTTGTGCTTTCATCTTCCCTGGAGTATCCTTTGATAGATGTATTTTTGTTTATAATATTAAATTACTTAGAGTTGGAGAAGGTTTTTGTTTTTATTGTGCTTGAAAGGCTGGAATTCACACTTCTCAAGGGTCCTTATCTCCTACCCCTGACAGCATCCATAAAACATGGACTGCATTTTCACCTGCGATGTGAGCCTGGAGGGCAGGTTAGCCCTCTGCCGGGATCACATGTTAATGGATAGAGCAGGACTGAAACCATGTGAAATCTATAAAGTGTTGGGATGACGGCTATCTCTGATATGTCTAGGACAGTTCAGGTCATGTGGGAACTGCTGAAGCCTGCATGTGGGTCATTCTGAATCCTTCTCCATTCACAGATTTGAGTTCCTTCAGCCCTGGCACCAGTACAACGCCTATTATGAGTTTAAGAAGCAGTTCTTCCTACAGAAGGAAGGAGGCAGTAGCACACAGGTATTCACTGAAGGTGGGGAAGGCATGAAACGAGCCCTGATGATAGGTGCAGGCGTCACTTCCTGTTTGTTCTCAAATCTACACTATGTCTAACCTTTCCCTTCAGAGGTGAAAGCTGTCTGTCTTAGATGTGTTGAAGCACCCACTCATGCCTTGGTGACCACTTGTCTAGCATGTTCCTAGCCAAAAAAAAAAAAAAAAAAAAAAACACTTGCTTCAAGTAGCAGAGGCTACTTTTGACAGTATTGGGGAAGGGAGTTGAGACATGGTCTCATGTAGCCCAGGCTACATGAAGATCAAGCCTTCGGTTCTTGATCTTCCTGCCTCTACCTTCCAAGTACTAAGGTGTGTCCAGTTTACTTCGACTGCTGTATAATGCAGCTCATGGTGCATATGCCCTCCAGGGGTAGAGCTGAACCCTGGCTGCCACAGCACACAGTCCCTTGCACAGTTCTCTTGCACTGGGAATACTAGAAACTGAGGCTGCTCACTCCTCTGTTACTCAGTGGGGGGGGGGTTTTATTCCGAAGGTATTCTCAGTAACCAGACTCCAAGGAAAAGGTACTTCTTCAGCTTTTTAGTCTGTCATGTTTAAAAAAAAAATACGAGTGCAGCTGGGTGTTGGTGGGTGGTGCACACCTTTAATCCTAGCACTCGGGAGGCAGAGGCAGGCGGGTCTCTGTGAGTTCTGGAAGGGAGGAAAAATACAAGTAGAACTGGGGATATAGCTCAGTGACAGAGCACTTGCCTAGGAGAGTAGAACATTTGCCAAGTGCATGCAAGTGCACACACACACACAAACGCACTCAAGGAAACTGCACGTCAGAGCTTGAGATGTGAAAATGCTATTTCAGGTGGTTTGAGAGATTGTTTTGAAGTGTGTGTATGTGTGTGTGTTCTGTTTGTTTGTTTTTGTTTTGGAGCGACTCATGTAGACCAGACTGGCCTCACACTCCCTTTGGCTAGGATGCTCTTGAACTCCTGAGTGCTGGGATTATAGGTGTTTACTATGGAATATACTGACAAACCTTCGTGACTGTCACAGAACAGTGCATCAGTGCATAGTGATGTCTCTCTTTCCAGGTAGCATCAACAGCTGAAGAGGCTTCCACAGAAACTGCTGCTGAAGAGTCGAGTGAAGCCGGGGAGGACGGCACTCCTGAGGGTATGGCGGAGACTGGGGGAAGAGGCAGCGGGAAGAAGGAGGCTGGGTCCAGCAAGAGCACCGTGGACGGGAAGCTGGTAAAAGGTGCGCTGTCCAGGTGAAGCCTAAGCCTCATGGACTTCCTTCCCTCCTGAGGGACAGGACTAGGTACCTGAGCCATGGAGGCTCCTTGGGCTTGGCTTCTTGAGCTGCTATATTCAGGCATGCTCACCTTGTCCTGCTTCCAAACATGGTGTTTGGAACCCTGTAGATGCAAGCTAGTCCACGTATCCGCCAGCTTCTGAACTATTTTGAGCAATTTAGTAGACACGTTTATAAATTTTCCAGTAATATTTCATCCTCCCCCAGACCTTTGAAAGTGTTCAGTTATTTGTGGTACGGGGGACTGCATCCAGGGCTTACCTGAGCGGGTGTTCTCCACTAGGTTCCAGCTCTGGTCCCTGTGTAAACTATTGTGATGAGGTTGGCTTTTTTTGTCCAAGTGGCTCCCTTGAGCACCCTTGTCAGACAGTGCTGCGCTCACTCACATTTGGTCTCCTTGCCCTGGCCCTGACTAGACGAGGTAGTCTAGCAGAATGCATGTAGATAAGTGGCTGGTGCAGTAGAGAAGACAGAAGAAAGGCTACTTCAGGCTGGTTAGCAGAGCTCTGTGGTAGAATGTGAAGAAGCTGTCATTCACCTGCTCTAAAAGCCTGCAAAAAAGGGTGCTATGTTGGGTGTTCAGAGATAAGTGAAGTCCCTGCTTTGGTATGGTGGCAGGTGTCTCTAGTGATTCAGTCTGGAGAGGTGTACTGCCCAGAATCTGGGACTTTGCTTTCCCTGAGGCCTGTGGTTCCTGGGGAATGCTTTATTTAGCATTGGCTTTTTGAGATTGAGGCAGAGGGACAGTTGGGGACCTTTGGTAGCCCAGTGGCTAGTACAAGAAGCACAAGCCTGCAGCTCCTGATAGAAGAGTGGCGACAGACACAGGCAGCAGTCTCTTGCCTGACCTAGAGCAGCCTTCTTGGGGGAGGGGATGAGGATGCACAATAATTTGGTCATCACTAGGAAAGCACTGTTTAGAAAGTCAGGTGACTGGCTGCCTCCTGCTCTTGATGAAATAAGCAGAGGCACAAGCCAAGCAGAGCAGCAGCTTCTTCACTAGAAACCCAATTGAGATGCCCACCTGGGACTTCTAAGGGGAAGAGAGATGCTGAGGACGTGATCCCAGAAGAGCCACCGCCAGCAAGGAGAAGCTGGGAGGCTGGATCAGGCTCGGGCACATCCACAGGAAGTACCCTCGACACTGGTCTTGCCTGGGTGGCTGCAGGGACAGCCTGCCCACCCTGGTAGGAGAAGCTGGAGATGTGAGGACAGAAATGCATAGTGTTTGACGTACTCCTGCAGTGAGACCTGGGAGAGATATGATGGGCCTTCTCTGAGGTTCAAGCCAGAAGAGCACAGCCCTACTGAGGGGCTGAGAATCAGAAGACAACAGTTGAGCTTCCAGCCCTAAGTGTCAGAACAGATCCTTGGGTCTTTATGTTCAAAAAAGTCGAGGGTGTTATAAAATACAGGCTGCTGATAATCTGACAGCTTCAGAAGACTGCTCAGGAATACTGCTGGGTTAAGCATGATGAAATCACCAGGGTCAGACTGACTAGAAGACAGCCTGGGAAGTTCTCAGACATCTCAAAGGAAGGGAGAGATGTGGAAGAAGTTCATCCAGGCAGAAACAGCCAGGCTTCCCTCTCAAGACCTGAGTCCATAGAAGTAAGGACAGTGAGAAGAGCATCTAAGAATTATTACCAGCCGGTTAGGGCATAGCTCAGCAGTAGAGCACTTCCCTGGATTCCATTCCCCACACTGCCGGGGGTGAAAATGCAGTAAGATACGATTTCAAAAAGGACAATAGCATTACCTGGTTAGTTGGTAAACAAACAAACAAAAATTAAATGGACATTGATTTCAAGAAACTATGAGAACTAGGGAGTGAGCTGGGGTACTGTACAAGATGACCTGGGCATGTTCAGTCCTTGGCATGGCGGGAGGGGGTGGGGCAGAGAGGCAAAGAGCAGGGCTGAGGATGGAGGCTCAGCCAATAGCACAGAAGCTGAAGCAGGATTTCCAGTTCAAGCTTCCTGATAGTGAGAACCTCTTAAAACTCGATAAGATGCTTAAAAGGAAAATAGAAGCAATGGAATAAGAATTAAAGGAGAAATTACCGAGAAAGTAATTTTTTTTAAGACCAGTAAAATGTTGTGTGTGCTCAAGAGAAAAAGAATGCAGATATGAACACAAAGTTGTAAATCTTTTTTAAAATACACAAGGATAGTATGTACATAACCTTAAATGGAAATGGACTCAAGTCCCTGAAAAATACCATTTCAAAGGAACATAAATTGCCAAAATTACTTCAAGAAAAGAAGAGAAAGGAAAACCGACAGATTTTTAGTCTGGCAGATTTTTTGAAATACTGCTTAGTGAACAGCCTCTAGAATCAGGCAAGAAGCCAAAACCAATTAGAGGTTGGCTTAATTTACCCTCAAGAACTAGACCATCTCTGTCCGTAAAGCTTCTCCAGGACTTATGGGAGTCAGAATTAAGAAGCTCTCAGAGCTCAGCGATCTATAGACCTCAGCACTTAGAAGCATGATGTTAAAATATTAAATGGATTCCAATTGGGTACTGAAGTGGTAACAGGAATGAGCAGTGGTCTTGTTCCAGGGCCCTGGGTTGGCCTTACCATCACCTGTCTGCAAGCAGACTTCTGGGGTCTTGTCTGAGAAGGCACTGAGAGAGTGTTGGTGCTTCTGAAACTTGATTGCACCACAAGAACAACATAATGACTAGTGATAATAACTACTAGTGAGGCACCTGCATTCCCAGATACTCAGGAATTTGAGGTAGGGGAATCCTTTGGGCTCAGGAGTTCAAGACCAACCTGGGCCACATAGCTAAGAGGTCATCTCAAAATACACACATATATATGTAAATACACATGCAGCTGTTATCCAGAAGTGGAAAGAAGCTGTGAGGCCATGGGTGTGCCTCAAGACGGCACTGCTGGACCTATCCTTGAGGGTCCACATGCCCCAGAAGGAATGGATCCTGCAGGCAGCAGACAAGGCTGTCCATCTTAGCTTGAGCACAGAGCAGAAGGGCAGATGTAGCTGGCTTACACAGGGTGTGGGCCACCTGGAGAAAGAGCTTAGGGTTAGTGGTAGTGCAAGCTGTGGTGTGCCCATTGTATAATCAGAATATTCCACAAGAATTCCCAGGGCCTTTGGCTGGGCTGACTTAGCCTAAAGAAGCTTCCTCTTGGTTCTCATCAGTGCCATGGGACACATGGGCACTTGATAATCTCATGTTCAACACTGAGTGAGACAAAACACCTAAACATGCAGCTTAAATGGCTCTTTAATTAGGTTCCTTGTATGTGGGGTAATGGTGCTTTGGCTCTGTGTCCAGCTGTGAGTGCCTCTCTAGACTAAGTGGAAAACTGCTCACATACTTTCGTTGTCATCTAGATGTTCCCTTTTCTGGAAACAGTACAGGTGTTTTTAAATCATCTTGTATTTTTAGTTTCACTTCATGAGTCCATTAACATTTTATATGTTTTCTCTCATTTTAAAATGTCCTTAACCCTCTGCTTATTAAAGAGACCATTTTACTATAGGCAGTAAATGATTTGTTTTGTTCAACTTAGCTTTCCTTTTGTCGTCATTGGTTGTTTTTGTTTTTTGGTTGTTTTTTTGAGACAGGGTTTCTCTGTGTAGCCCTGGTTGTCTTGGAACTCACTCAGTAGACCAGGTTGGTCTCAAACTCACAGAGATCCAGCAACCTCTGCCTCCTGAGTGCCACCACCTGGCAAACCTAAGTTTTTTTTATGGAACCTTAAGACATGTACAAAAACAACAAATAGCACAGTAACACACATCACCTCACCAAGCACTCACCACCACCTTCAGCAGTCGGCTCTGGGCTGCGTTGTTCTGCATCTCCATCCCTGTCTTGGATCCCACGCAGAATCTGCTGCAGCAGATCTTCATCATCGTGCCACTAGCATAGATATCTTGGTTGTACTGTGAAAGATGAGGCCTTTGGTTAGTACTCAGTCCACATTACAACACCACAGCAGCTTAAAGTGCGCTCTGCTGCTTAGCAGGGGTGGCGTGGAAGTCTGCTCTCCTGGCTCCTGGGTGGTAGTAAACGGGGTGTATGTCACACGTATAAATTCTCCTCAGCCCACACGAGGCTGTGGAGCATAGAGCAGTAAGGCAACGGGACCCTCAGTCCATCACATGGCCGAGTGGCCTGCCTGAGAAACTTGAGGGTGGGCACCGCACTAAGTCACAGCCCTGCTAGAACCTGCGTGTGTCCCACGGCCCGCCTCATTCAGAGTGTGCTGGAGATGTCCCTCGGTGTAGCTTCCTGATGCCCGTCATGAATGAAGGCTGTAGTGTCTACTGCATCTGGGTGGCTGTTAGGAGCCACTCAGCCTAGTGAGTAACAAGAGAGACTCAGTGCCGATGAGCAAATAGAGCAGGAAGACTTTCTCCTTTAAGACCTTCGCATTTCTTAAGTGCTTAGGGGTTGGGGGTATATCACCTAAATTTTTGTTAACACCTTGAAATGTTTGTGATAGGTCTAGATCGAGGTCCAACAGGGTGCTTATCATGTTCGCTGAATAAAGGAATGAATTCTGGGTTTGTTTTGGTTTGGATTTTGCTTAAAGAATAGGCTTTTTTTCATGTAGTTGGAGGTTTTCTAGGCACTGTTTCTTAATGGAGCCATGTCACATGCTTACTTACGCATACCAGTCAGCTACATGCCAGATTCCTTTTAAAAATTTTTTGAAAATGGCAGGCTAGCAAGATGACTCAGTGGGTAAAGGCACTTGCCACCACTCTGCCAACCTGAGTTTAATGCCCACAACCCATGTGGAAGGAGAGAGCTGATTCCCACTTGTCTTCTAACCTTGACAGGCACACATGACACACTCTCAAGCACACACGAAAGACAGGAATGTTTAAAAGTTTACAAAAAGGAAAATGACAAAAATTGACCATTCCATGTTCAGCTGGTGTGTGTCTACTATGGCACCACCACTATGCTGCCCGTCCTAAGCATGGGTCAGACACATACCCCAGTCTGATGCCTTGCCGAGAACATTTAGACAAGACTCCTTTGACACTGCAGCAGCCACACCTACAGACCACGCACGCTCCCTCCCTCCCTCCCTCCCTTCTCCTCCTCCTCTCCTCTCTCTGGCGGTGCCTTCACTTGTACATGGTAGTGCCTCTGACAGTGTCTGCACATTCTGCCTCTGGTGCCTAAAAATGTGTCACAGTTCTCATCTTTTCCCAACAGCTTCATTTGCTCCAATAAGCTTTGCCATCAAGGCCAAAGAAAATGACCTACTTCCTCTGGAAAAAAACCGAGTCAAGCTGGACGATGATAGTGAAGAAGATGAAGAAAGCAGGGAATGCCAGGAAAGCACAAGTAGCGTGGCCAACCCCAGCCCAGCCGCAGCCCCGCCCTGTGTGGTGGCAGAAGAGAAGAAGCCCCAGCTCACCCAGGAGGAGCTAGAAGCAAAGCAAGGTTTGTCGATAGCTTTTAAAGTTCTTGAAAGAAGGAAGACAGATGTAAGATTTATGTGCTAAGCCAGAGATTCTAAGATGGTGAACCAAAGCCTGGAGCCACGCAGGAGCGCTCTGAAAGCCCTTGTGCAGTACTGTGCGGCACTGTGCACTCCTTAGCTTGATGCAGTGCCCTTGGCAATCTGTACTCAGAGCAGCCTAATGCGCTAAGTGGGCGGCTCTAATGGAGACGCACTTTGTACTTGGACGACAGCCCCGGGGTGAGACACCAGGCCTGGACTCCCAGCTCCAGTTAATGCATCAAACTGGGAGAGGCCCTTTTGTAGGAATGTCTCTCAGCAGAACCATCAGCCCTTTAAGACGATGCCTGCCAGAACTGATTTCTCAGCCTTGGCTCATCCTCATGGGTCACAGCGTGGCCAATGGCATGTGGGGGACATGGGCTGAGGCTGGATTTCCCTCAGCATTTTCGGGATATCTGCACCTCCAAAATAAGTCCTATTCCACCATGAAGTAGTTACTTAGAAAACACATTTATGCTTTACCTATTCTAACTAGTTATCTTGGAATGCGTTTTCTGGGTATGCATGAACAGACCGTACAACACTGATTAAAGAATGCTCTTGGAGCCAGTGTCTTTCAGGGGAGAGCATGGCGTAGGCCCACACTTGCTCTCCTCAGTGCATTTACAGTCATTTGTGTGTTCGAGTTTGCACTTTCTATGTGTGAGCTCAGCATTTTGTCATGCCCTCTGAACTAACACTTCCCACAGGGCGTCATTCATCCAAACACTTAGAGTGTTTGGGACACCTGTGTATGAGAGTCATTCTATTCGGCAGTTCCCAATATCCAGCCCCAACTTCTACCATTATAGAACCCCTTCAGCCTTTCTGCCTTTGAGAGTAAAGTGTACATTTCCCAAAAGCCATAAGTTTATTACATCCAAATTTTGGTTTGTCCCAGGTGTCTACCTGCCCTGAGGTTAGTATGAGATGGCAGTGTTGTGTGTCAGAAGGTGCCTGTAAAAATTAGAAATAAAACACTGCTTGTTGTAGACTCTATCTTTCTTGTTTTCTTTAGCAAAACAAAAGCTGGAGGACCGCCTTGCCGCTGCTGCCCGGGAAAAGCTGGCCCAGGCGTCCAAGGAATCAAAGGAGAAGCAGCTTCAGGCCGAACGTAAAAGGAAAGCAGCTCTGTTTTTACAAACCTTAAAAAATCCTCTTCCAGAAGCAGAAGTGGGAAAACTGGAGGAGAGTGCTTTCAGTGTAGAGGTATGTCGAAGGGAGTCCTGGTGGCATGCTTGGGTTTGGAGGAGATGGAAATAGATTCTGGGCCACTCTGGCCATGGAGCCCCAGCCTCAGTCAGATGCCAGCAGTCCAGCACTGCGTCTAGCATAGAGTCATGGCTTTGCTGACAGCTTTGAGTCTGTGCAAAGAGATTCCTTGACAGACAGTTACCTATAAACATACCAAAGCCAGGCTGCAGTCTCAGAACACAGCCATAGATACTGATCAGGAAGCACAGCTCATGGCTCCCCATGCAGGGCCTCAGTAATCCGTAGCCACATGGCTGAGCTTACACCAGGGCAGAGATCTCAGTGCCGCTCCTGTGTCTGCATTGTGCTGTAATTAGCGGGGGAAAGGGGTAAACTGCAGCCACCCTTGTCTTCCTGGGTGTGTAGTGCTGTGGTAGAGCACTGCTGTGTGGGAGGCCTGAGCTCATAGAGACCCCAGGCAGCTCCTTCCTAAGTGGTGGCCTTGAACAGGAACATCACATGGTACCTTGGGAGGTACCAGGAACCCTTAGTAAACGCTGTTGGCGGCAGCAGCGTGTCATTCAGTGAAAATTCTGGTCGTGTCGGTCTAGACCTGGTCAAGGAGCCCAGGGCCAAATGTGTAGCAGGTAAGTACTCTGCCCTGAGCTGTGTCCTCAACCCTGGATCTTCTAGACTCTTGATAGCAGGTAACTTTCAAGAGTTTTTTTGCAGGGAGAGGTTAAAATATACTTCATGGGTATCTGGGAATTCACAGAGGAGTTCGAGAACATTTTAGAAATAATAAGTTTTCTAAGTAAGAAGGCTAGCAGTATAACAAATGTTTTGAGGCTTGAAGTATGACACAGCTGGAGTGCAGACCCACAGTCAGTTGTCAGAAAGTGTGACTCTGTTTCTTAAGAGCAGCTAAAAATGGTTATTTAAAAGCCTTTCTCAGAGGCTGGATTACCAGCTAAGAGCCATGATTGTTCTTCCAGAGAACCTGGGTTTGATTCCCAGGACCTATATGGTGTTTCACAGCCATCCATAACTCCAGTTTTCAGTAGCTCTTAACACCCTCTTCTAGCCCCCACAGATACATCTGTGTGCAAGCAAACCACCTATATACAAACTCTTGCCAGAGGATCTGATGTCCTCTTCTGGACTCTGTAAGCATCTGTTGTGTGTGCCCATAAACATTATCTCAACAGAGCTGCTTTAACAGAAAGGGTGTAAGGAGTAGATGGTGATAAGTGTCTGATTGCTTTGAAACAAAAAGACTTGTAATAAATTGACAGTTTCTAAACGATAGTCACCTGCAGATGTTAGCACATTTTACCCAATTAGCCGCATAGACTAGACCAGAGTGCTTACGAGCCCTAAAGGATATGCGATAAGGTCACAGCTGGTACTACTAGATCTATCAGAGCCTAACTCAGCTAGCTCCTCAGGATAGGCAGGTGCCCATAGGGTAGCATTCCACCACTCACGTGGACGTATCCTTTTTTGCATGCTGGTCTGCCCAGTGCCATTGGTCTTTAGATAAATGTGAGGGTATCCAGAAGATGATGTCAGATTCCTTGGAGTTTGAGGTATAGCTGATTGTGAGCTGTCTGATGTGGGTGCTAGGAATTGAACCTGGGTCCTCTGCAGAAGCAGCAAGCCCTCTTAACCACTAAGCCGTCTCTTTAGCCTGCCTTTGGACATTAGAGATGATTTTACATATCTAGGTGTGATTTTAAGTGATCTCTTAAAATGTACTCATTGACATATAAAAATATTATTGGATAGATATGGTGGAACTCAGAGATTTGCCTTTAATCCCAGCACCCGGGCATATTTCTGTGAGTTCCAGGCTAGCCAGGGCTACATAGGTGAGACTATCTAAAAGAAGAAAGAGATTAACAGTACACTAAATTTTTAATCAGTCTATTCAGTAGCTGAGAATATTGCATTAGTGATGGTAATCCTGTCTGTGGTTAAACATAGTTACCTAAGCAGTAGTGAGCTCAAGGAAAAACTGAGAGAACTCCCTCATGTCTGATAACTGCAGGTAGCCATCTGGCCTCAGTTCAATCCACTGGCGAGCTTTTCATTGTGAGCTAACAGTTGTGTAAGAATCATGTGCAGGATGCTAATCAACTGCCAGAGTGGACCCAAGTGATGCAGGAAGGCAGGGCCCTCCTTCCCACAGTTACAGGTTTACAAAAGCGCATGCACACCATTTCTGTCCTCATCCCATTCCAGGGTACCCAGATATCTGGGGCAGTATTGGAGGCTGGCCACACAGAGCGTCTACCTTGAATTTGTTAATAAACTTTACTACTAAATCCTCCAGGCACAAAATGAGAAATTTTCCATGTGTACCATTTGATGACTAGTTAACTGTATTTCTCCTGAAAGGCCAGAGAGGTTTGTCTGTCTTTTGAGACAGGATCTCACTGTAAAATTAATTCTACTCTAGAATTAATTTTGTAGCCTAAGCTGACCTCAAACTCAAAGCAGTTTTCCTATCTCAGCCTCATGCTTCAACCACAAGGGGGTGGGTTTTATAGGTACTACCAAGGTATCTATATTTGAAGTGTTGTATTTCATGATTTCATCCGCATACTCACTTACGTTTCCAGGAAACAAGTGTCATGCCCTGTCCTCTGCTGGTTGGAGGCAGAACTCTGCCCATGTTAGAGGTGAAGCCTCCAGAAAGGCCTTCCAGCAGATGCAGAGACCCACCGAGAGAAGAAGAGAGAGAGAAGAAGAAGAAGAAGCACAAAAAACGATCTCGAACGAGATCCCGCTCCCCCAAGTACCACTCGTCTTCCAAGCCCAGGTCTAGATCCCACTCAAAAGCCAAGCACTCTCTGCCCAGTGCCTACCGGACAGTACGGCGGTCGAGGTGGGTGTGCAGGTTTTCATTCCCTCCTGCTCATGTCTGCCCTACATGCTGAACTTCCTCCTGGCCCCCTGTAGAGCTAGCAGAAGGTTTAAAATGAGCACAGTGTTCAGTGGGCTGGTGAACTCACTAGGATGTATGTGTGTGTTTGAAGATTTAAATTGAGCAGTGTTCACTAGGCTGGTGAACACACTAGGATGTGGGGGGGGGTAAAATGAACAATGTTTAATAGGCTGATGAACATACTGTGTGTGTGAAGGTTTAAAATGAGCAAATTCACTGGGCTGGTAAATACACTAGTGTATGTGTGTGTAGATTTAAAATGAGAAATGTTCACTAGGCTGGTGAACACACTAGGGGTGTGTATGTGATCCTGCAAATCTAAAGGAAATCTTTCAAACTTGAAGCTTATCAGCCACTACAGATTAAATGACTTATTTATACTTCTTATCTCTGCATAGTTTACTTATACTTTACTCTTCACTCGGGGTGGAAGGAAGAGTATCTCCAGTTCAAGGTCATTCTAAGCTACACTAGGGTGATAACTCAGTACAGTTTGTTGTACAGCATGAGGGCTTGGGTGAGAAAGCCAGGCCCTGAATTCTAGCACAGGGAGGCAGGTACAGGCTGGGGCTCACTGTCTCTCCAGTTTGGTCCAGTCAGCAAAATCCAGACCAGTGAGAATGTCTCATGAAATCAGGTAAATGGGCTGGGTTTGGGGTTAAAAGCCTTTACTCCCAGCACTCAGGAGGCAGAGGCAGGCGGATCTCCGAATTAGAGGCCAGCCTGGTCTACGTAACGTTCTAGGCTAATCAGGGCTAGTGAGAACAGTCTCAAAAATCAAAACACAGGCAAAAAGCCCACAGTGAATGGCTGCTGAGGAAGAGCACCAAGGTTGCCCTCTGACCTTCATATGCATACGTACATAAATAAAATAAGTTGCCAGGCAGTGGTGCACACACCTTTAATCCCAGCACTCGGGTGGCAGAGGCAGGCAGATCTCTGTGAGTTCCAGCCTGGGTACTGTACAGAGCAAGTTCCAGAGCAGCCAGGGCTATGCAGAGAAACTCTGTCTTGAAAAGAAAAAAGGAAGAAAAAAATGTTCCCCTTCCTCCCATCAAAAGTTTTAAAAAAGGAAATTGTGAATGGGTGTGATAACACATGCCTATGATCCCAGTGCTTGAAAAATCGAGGCAGGAGGATCAAGGCATTCAGGATCACCTTCAACTGCATAGCAATACTGAGACCATGAGACTGCCTTATAGATAGTGTGGGACAGTTTGTTTAATGGTTTGCAGGTTATAGAGTGAGCTTGACATATGTGTTGAGTTGTAGAAATTCATAGGCTGGCATGCTGGGGTTATTTTGTGTGAGTGAACTTTCCTGTACTGATTGCTTCTGAATGAAGTGGTACAGCAGCCCTTCCTGCCCAGTCTGTGTTGAGATGTTGTGCATAGCTTCTGCAAGTGAGTGTGAAGAAGCAGCTGTGTGGATCTGTCGCTTCATCTCAGCCTGCTGCCTCTCCCTGAAAAGCCCTCTTGATAAGAAGCCAGGTGTTGAAGAAGCGGTTTAGCATTTCTGGCAACAGAATTAGGAAACTTGAACTTCAAGGGCCTCAGAGCATACCCCTTAGTGTTAAAGGGTTAAAACTGAAGCTCAGCAGTCGCTAGTATGAGAGATTCAGGATGCCTATCCTGTCTTTAGCTCTCATCCTGCCTTGTCATCCATGGTGTCCCCTGGACTCTGATCAGGTGTCCTCACACACCTGGCATCCACTCCAGGTACTCATCTTTCTTCTGGGATGGTGTCAGCACCATCCATAGACATTGGTGTCCTGTGTTCTTGTGTGTACTGCATACATTGGTCTCCTTGTGTACATCCTAAAAGCAGTGTGCTTTCTCTGTCTTTATCCACACCAAGCTCAGGGCTGACAAGTGTCTGACTTGTCTTCACTGAGAGTGTGTTTGTCTTCATGGTGAGCCTTTGGCTCTAGTTTTGGAAGTTCAACACTTTGTACTATTGCTATGCACATGCAGAAAGCTTGCCATTTCATAATAATGAAGAGTTTACTTTTTTTTTTTAAGCTCCTAAAATTTGTGTTACAGATCCAAACAACACAGGCTGTGCCAATCCTTCAGCCTCATTCTGTCTGCCCAGGCAGTTCTCCCTGATTTCCTCTACTCCAGGGCCCAGACAAGGAAGAACAGTCCCCTCATGATTCCCAGGCCTTGTGCCGGTAGAGAGGGCTGCCCAGGCCCTTCCTGGCCACAGTCACCCACACTAACTAATCTCAGTATGTGGTAGGGTAGACCACCATAGACCTCTTCCCTATGCTCTGCCTGTCCAGCTTTTCCCCAGGTTGGGTGCTATTAACCTGGAGTGTTCACCTAACACCTGCATTGTAAGTTCTTGGCTAAAGGTAACTGTAGTCCTTAACTGTAATGGACTGGATTATCTTATATATTATCTTACCTTTTAAAATGTTTTAAAGTTTGCGATAGATTTACGTTTACATATTTTATACAAGTACATTATTTATAACACTTTATATCTTCAGTGCCTGCAGGTCCAAGGAGCAAAACCCTACTCCTTAGTGTAAGTGTCAGCTAAAAGACAAAATGAAGCTGATAGTCTTCTGACCACTATTTCTTCTCTGATGGTTGGCCACCAGTTTTATCTTAATTTGACCTTCAGTGAAAATGTTTTACTGTGTCAGCAGAGCCGGTTATTCTCAAAGCTCCCCAAACTTCTGCCTCAGTGACTGAGGTGGGGTCAAATAGACACTTTTGATTTATTTGGTTAAATAGCTCACATAATTTACAGCATTAGATAAGTCAATCTTTGGTGTTTGGTTTTACAGTTTAGAATAGGAGTGTTGGTACTGTGACCCACCTTCTAGCTGCTGTCTGTCTGTACAACACCCAGAGAACTAAAACATGGCCCCTGGAAGCCACTGTCCTCGGCTGCACAAGGACCTCACCCTCCGGTCTCCCTTTATCCTCTAAAGGCTCCTGCTCTCTGGATGGGGTTGTATTTTCCCAAGCTGAAAGCTGTGGTTATGGCAGGTGCAGTAGCCATGCTTATGGTCCCAGTACTCAGACTGAGACAGGAGAAGGAAGATGTCCAGAGCCATCCTGCTCTTCATACTAAGACCATATCTTGAAGATAAACAATACTGAGACCATATCTTATAAACACCAAATACAATGTTGCAGTTGTGACTGAAATGGGATGGCAAGCTCAGTGCTATGTGCTGTTGACATTCTAACCACAGTGCAGAAAGTGCTGCTGATACTGTCATTATTTTGTCTTTAACTATCTTTTCAGGTAGAGTAATCCATTGCCATGGTAACGCCTACAATAGGACATACTAGACTTATTTTTCAGGCCTGACACAGCCTAAATGGTCATTTTTAAATGATGACTGCTAGCTCAAAGTAAATGCTGCAGTTGTTGGTATTCTCCTGTGGTAGTATACTGCAACTGAAGTGCATTGTCTTCTCTGTATTAAGTGGTTCTGGTCCCATATAAAATGCAGGACAGTATGATGTTCATTTGCTGTGTGATGTGCTCGTAGGGTGGAAACTGCTTACTCCAAACTGTAGGTGACTTTGGATCTGCAAAGGCATGTTCTTAGCAAAATTCTTTAGTCTCATAACGACACCAGTGCCTCAGAAAGCACAGTGGGAGTCAGCATCAACCAAAAGTGTAAGACTGTCCAGAGGTGTTGCTTCTGCTCTCAGTTGTGCTGTGCCCAGCTTTCAGGCTTCTGAGGTGAAGCAGCAGGCACGAAGTTAAGTCACATGTGATGGTTTGCGTGTTCCTGAGCTAACTTCCACAGTGAAGTGTGAAGCTGCTTACCTGTTACCTCCTGGAGTCAGACCCTCAGTGGTGAGATGTTGAACTGAGTGTCTGAATGCCTTTCGGGCAGCCCAGCAGTATGAGGGATCTGTGTGATAGACATTTCTTTAAAGATAACTCCATAAATCCCTTCAAGCAGGGGAGGGTGTGCCGGCTAAGGAAGCTTTTGGGTTTTTTTGTTTGTTTGTTTGTTTTTGGGGTTTTTTGTTTGTTTGTTTGTTTGTTTTGCTAGTTTATAGCATTCAGTAAGAAAAGTGGGCATGGTGGTGCACACTTTTAATCCCAGCACTCAGGAGACAGAGGCAGGGGGAATCTCTGAGTTCAAGGCCAGCCTGGTCTACAGAGTGAGTTCCAGGACAGCTAGAGCTACAAGAGAAACCGTGTCTCAAAAAGCAAAATAAAAAAAAAAAAAAAGCAAGAAAAAGCTTATACAGGCAAAATTGAGATTTTATAAAATTGAGATTCTATTTTAGTTTCAAATTGGTGTGTCTTTACTATTTGTTTCCTAATGGTAAACTATGTAGCAAGGACATTTAATCCCTCAAACCTGTTTCTTAAAGGAAGAAGGAGGGTGATTGGAACTTCCTGTGTGGTGACTCTCCCCATATGGGTGTGGGACAGTAGTTTTATGTTGAGGTGACCTGTGACTAAGTCTGTGAATGGAATGAACTGAAGGTGACTTGACCCCAATCCTGTTCACCTTAACTCAAGCCAGTTCCCACTAGGTTAGATCCAGACCCTGGCTGCCCACAGCTGTGAGAGCCCCAGAGCAGTGAGCAGTGAGGAGCAGACAATGGCATTCAGACAAAGCATTGTGGTCATTCAGGAAGGATCACCTTTGTTGTACTCTGCCTGGAAGTTTTTAATTGAGACCAGTTGTCTTCTTTAAGAAGGCTTGTGGTGACATTGCACACTGATTTACTTTTAAGCTGGATTTCCCGGCTCTTGCACTGTCCTGGCATCAATATTAAGAGCCTGGTTAACAAAAATTAAAAGCACTAAGACTTACTTAATTAAAGTGAAACCTAAAGAATTACTGGCTGTTATTTGCTGCCCTGTTCTGAGCAGGGCTTCTTTCCCAGAAGGAACTCTACTGGGAACAGCCACTGTGCTCTGAAGAATTCATAATACCAGTAGCCACTGCAAAACCGTGTTGTACTTCAACGTTCTGAATCTGCAGGCATTACAAACTAACATATTTTTCCTAATTGTTGAGTTTATTGTAGAATTCTATGCTAAGCATCCATAGGTGCTAAAGCTTTGAGTGAGCGGAGCTTTCTCACGGCTCTGGTAGCACCCAGCCCGGCACATTTCATTCTGAATGTGAAGTATGTGCCTCCGACCGCAGGCCCTCAGCCTCCCCAGGGATCTTGAGTGTGGAGCCTTGTCCCAGCAGCTCGGCAGTGGCGGCAGCACAGCAGGAGAGTTATCAGGCAGCCTCGGCCTCGAGCAGCTTTGACTCCTGGAGCTCTTTTGAGGGGAAACCTGGTAAACCGTCAAGGTGTCTGACTGCCCCCACCTCTGTAGTCTGTGTAGCCTAGGGAAGGTCTGGGGAGGCACACCACCTAGACCAGCCCTGCTGGAGAGAGGCCCCTTGTGGGCTCATGGGGCCAGGGTGTGACCAGAACTTGATTCCTGAACAACTGTGTGTTGTTTCTATTGGGAGGGAGGAATTCATTGTGCTTAGAGTGATGCAATGAAGAACTTTTTCAAATGGTGGAATCAAACTGCTCTCTTTATATTGTTTTTGACTGGGTTGCCATGGAAACAGAACAAAGAGAGGAGTTTGGGTTTTGTAGGTTCCCCCCTCTAAATTTCTGCTTACTGGAGATTTTCCTAAAATAGCAAATGGACAGAGAACTAAAATAAAAGTCTCAAGCCTTCATTGAGGAACCCTCTGTTAAGGACCCCTACACCCACAAAGGGTAAGAGGGGCCTGAGGGTCTCTCCTGTCATGTGTGGAGTATATCCCGGCATGAATCAAACAAAGAATAAGTATTAATAGATGGTTTGTGTCCATGAAGCCTCCCATAAACTTAAAGTAGTCAGTCTGTCATGAGGGCATCATGTTCTGAGCAGGTGCAGGGTTTAGGCTTCATGCCAGTGGGCCTGCAGGGTGGTCCTGTTGCCTCCTGCCACATGGCGGGAGATGAGTGACAGGAGGAATGTCAAGGTGCAGCCCATAGTCCTTGGCCTCTCAACCTTTAGTTTCTCCCTTTGCCGGAACCTCAGCGCCTTTCCCTGTCAAGGAGCAGCTTGAGTGAGCTGACAGCTTCAGGCCTCGAGTGAGCGAGCGCAAGGCAAGAGCAGGGAAGAGCAAGCGTGGCCTCCTGGGGATCTGGCCTTGCTGTCGCACAGGCAGGGGTGGGGTCAGTAGGGCAGGGCCCATCTGAGCAGCCTGCATCTCACACAGGGCTTCTCTGGCCTCATGCTAGGGAGGTGCATACCACAGAGACCAGCCCTCAGACAAGAGCTAAAGTCCCCCTTGTTCTCTATCTAGGTCACGTTCTCGGTCCCCAAGAAGAAGAGCACACTCTCCTGAGAGACGACGGGAAGACAGGAGTGTCCCTACTGCCTACCGGATGAGCAGCAGCCCTGGAGTCAGCAGGAAGCGGACCCGTTCCAGGTAGGCTACCATGTCTTACAGGGGGAAAAAAACTGTCGAAATCTTGGTGTCACCTGTGTGAAACAGTTGCAGGGAACTTATGTAGCAATGTCTCCTCTGGGAGCCCAGGCTCACCAAGTAGAGGGTACTGTCTCTTGGGGCAGTCAGTGGGTCACCAAGAGCATGTGGGGATCCAGGGCAAAGTTGGTGTCCATGCTTTTGGAGCCCTCCCATGGCTTTCTTTGCTCTGGAACATATTTTTCATTAACACTAGCCCAGGGACCTTGCTGGATCTGCCCTGGTTTCCCTACCTGTGTTTAAGGAACAGAGGGGTCAATACTGAAAATACAAACACCTTGTCTCAATGTCCTGCTTTGTCTCCAGTAATGGCCACTGGAGACTGGCTGGTATACAATGGTGAAGCAGGACAAGGAGGAGGTCAGCTAACATGACTAGAGCAGAAGTCCAAGCCCAGAGAGCCAGGGGTACATTTTAACCCTGTAAGCCACAGGTTCCTGGTGAGAACCCCAGGCTACCCTGGCTTCCCCTATCATACTCGGGGCCCTAGTACTTTCTCTGGCTTGTCTCTAAGTTTGGAAACCTGTCTATACTCTGTGGTGCCACTCTGTTCCTGTGTTAATCAACTTTCCATCTCTATAGCTCAGTGCCTGAGATAATCAACTTACAGAGAATGAGAGTTTGTTTTGATTAATCTTGTTGCTTTGGGCCTGTGCTGGGGCAGTGAATTGTGGTGGGAGCACATGTTAGGACCAAACCGTTTGCCTCTTGATCAGGCATCAAAAAGGAAGGGCTGGGACCTGTTATCCTCTTCAGGGCCATGTCCCCAGGGACCTACTAACCTTCCACTAGGTCCCTCTTGATAGTCCCAGTCCCTCCTCCTTGCAGCACCGCTCTGGGGACCAAGTGTTTTGTGTATAGTCCTTTGGGAGATGCTGGAAATGCAGATGATGGCTGCAGTGGGTGTAGCCACTACGTGAGAACTATGTTCCCTGCATGGGAGGTGTTCTGGAGCACCCTCCTCTGGTCCTAACATCTACTGTCTCCTGGTGGATTTCTTTAGTTCCCACGTGGACAGGAGTCATCTCTATCTGTCACGGGACAAAACAGCCAGAAAGACTAGAATATTTGAGGGGCAGACCCTGGATTACAGGTGAACAGTACACATCTGGGGCCCAGCTGTAGTTGCCCACAATGCTAACCATATGGCATGAGCAGTGGTCACAGAACCCCCTCTGGAGGGAGCCTAAGGGGGAGCAACACAAAGCGGCCTGTTAGCTGGTCGTAGGATGGCTGTTGATTGGAAAAAGGAGATCCTTTTATTTAACCTGAAAAGCCAGCAGACAAACTGGGAGGCGGATGGGTGTTGGCAAAGGTTTCCAATACAAGTTCACATTTATAAATTACACTCCAGCCTTCATAATCCTACCAGCTATTGCAGAACATAGAATTCATTCCTTAAGCAAGTGGTTTAACATTTGAAGTTCATCATCACCTTTGGTATATGTAAAGGGCATGGTCTAAAATTAATTCTTACAGCAAAAGATCTCTCTCAACAGAAAAATTCTTGCTTTGCCCTCAAATTACCCTTTACATTCAAAGGGAGATGATGGGAGATGGTGGTGGATGGGCCGGTGTCCAAAGTGCTAGGGCAGCTATCCCCATCTTAGGCATCAGGACTTAAGAAGCCCCTGGCCCTTCTGCTGGAGCACTGTCATCCTGAAAAGACAGGAAGAGGCTCTCAGCTGAGCACTGCTCCAGGAGCAGCCACTGAAGGATGTGCAGCTGCTAGCCACCATGTTCTTCCCTGCAGACCTGGAGCTGGTCCACTTCCATCCAGCTCCTTCAGTCCCGTATCCACTCCCTCCACCCTTCCATCTCAGCATATGGGTGGGGTCTGCTTTAAGTGGCCTGTGGCTGATTCACTGACACCCTGATACATCAACCTGTTGGAGGGGCATGCTGCTGCTCTGATAGAGCAATCTGAAGCAGTTTCCTACAGACTGATTACTACCCTCTAACTCGGGTGGGTTTTGTTAGTTTGTTTTATTTTTCAAGACAGGGTTTCTCTGTGTAGCTCTGGCTGTTGTGGAACTCACTCTGTAGACCAAGCTGGCCTCTAACTCACAGAGATCTGCTTGCCTCTTCTTCCCAAGTACTCGAATCAAAGATATGTGCTCTCACTAGGGGTTTTAACATGGTCCTAAGAGCACCCATACACACTTGGTCAGCAGCTTACTTAACTGTAGGTCTACTTCTCTCTGTCTGCATCCACTGCCCTTCCCACATGAGTTAGAGTCCAGACCAGCAGTGCTGCGGAAGGCCACAGGCAGGACCATGGTACTCATCCGTGGAAGGAATTCCAAGCACTCTGAATGAAGAATGCATTCTTAGTGATGCCACACCTGGTCCCTCAGCTAAAGTTGCCTCTGCCTCTCTGAACAAGCAGGTCACCTTCTAGGGGACCCTGGGCAGACATATGGACTCTGTTCCCAGCAGTTTTCTGCCATGGTAGTTGGTGGCAGCAAGAATGGCTATTTTCTGGTCCTGTCTCTTCTTCTGTCATTAGCTGACCCCTCCCTTGTTTAGCGCTACTTTGGGTGTTGTTGACTATACACTTTCCCATTGCCTTATCCTGTCTGATTGTGATAGACTCCAGGAACCTCCAAGTGGGTTGTCACATTGTTAAAATGACTCTGATCTTAGTGTTCTTCAGACACTAGCCAGTTTCTCTGTGCAGATGTCCAGACTCTGCTGCCTTGCCTGCCCCAGCTCTGGGGTTCATCCTTTCTCTATGTTACACTGCTTTCTTTCCATATCATTTGCATTATTTGTACGTAAGAGTGTTTTCACACACGTATGTATGTCTGTGCATCACGTGTGCTTGGCTGGTGCCTGTGGAAGCCAGATTTGTAACAGATGGTTGTGAGCTGCCATATGAATGCTAGGATTGGAACCCAGGTTCTCTGGAAAAGCAGACAGTGCTCTCAACCACAGACCCATCACTCCAGCCCACCCTGCTTCCTTTAAGTGAAGGTTTGGTGTAACATGTAGTCTTCCCGCCAGCCACCTGGGCTCTGCTGCCACAGTTTCAGCCCCCAAATAACACGTAAGATACTATATTAATTATAAAGCTGTATGATTTCTTATCGGCTAGCTCTGACTTAATATTTAACCCATAATTGCTAATCTGAGTATTTCCATGTCTCTTACCGGAGAAAGGTTCAGACCTCTTAATTCTACCACATTCTACATTGTGACTTTGTGCCTCTTTCCCAGAATCTTCCTTGACTCCTCGTCCAACCTACCTTCCTTCCCTATTGGCCAACAGTGCTTTATTCAACAACCAATAAGATAAGCACATACACAGAAAGACCCCCCCCATCAGTTTGGAGATTAGTATCTAAGCCTGTTGCATATTTAAAGTAAAATCTGGTAGACAGGACATGACAGTGCACACCTGTGGCCCAGCCATTCAGCACTCAGGAGGTAGAGAAAGAAGGACCAAGAGTTCAGGACTATCCTCAGCTACCTAAGTTCATGAGATACTGTCTCAAAAAGAGCACAATAAAATTGGCAAAGCTGAACACAAACAGCAGCATCCACACATGGCATGTGCGTGCATGGTGTATCATGTTTCAGTAGAGCATACAAGATGGCACTATAGTCAGCAGGATGTCCTGGGTACTTTACTGCAGGAAGAAAGGAGTCAGTAGCAATGGCTTCCTACCATTGCTTTCCCTGTGCAGAGCACTGCGTCTGGCATAGCACTGAAGTTAATGACTGAAAGGCTTTCTGTGTGTAGTGTTACTCCTTCAAGGTGAGCTTGGAAAACGAGAAGTTGTGTGTTATAGTCCCCTCAACAACCAGGAAAAACATAGCTGAAAAGCATAAAGGGTGGGGCTACCATGATGGCTCAGTGGGTAAAGGTGCCTGCCATCAAGGCTCACATCCTGGATCTTATCTCCGAATGGCAGAAAACAGAACTAACGTCCGTAATTTGTCCTCCGACCTCACACAAAATAAGATACATATATATGAGAGGAAGCTAGGGGTCAGACACCTCTAATCCCAGCACTTAGGAGGCAGAGGCAACCTGGTCTACATAGTTACAGGACAGCCAGAGCTACATAATGAGACCCTATCTTGAAAAAAAACCAGCAAAAAAAATTTTTAAGTAAATGAATAAAAGCTGAGAGGACATAAAACAAAAACCTTTCATTCAAAAGAAAACAGAAACTCAGGAAGGAAAGGAAAACAGATGAGGCTGTGAGAAGGTGAATGATTAAAAATTTGTGTGGAAAATTATGTCAGACAGATCTTAGACCTTTTTATAAAGTGGGTTTTGGGTACTTGGGGGTTTGGGCAGTGCCAGGGTTGAACCCAAGGCCTCTCACATGGATCAGTGGGGTCATCTCTACATGGCTAGTTTGAAGGCAGCCTGAACTGTGTGACTTTTTTTGGCGGGGGGGGGGAGCTGTGTGGGACTTTTGGAGAAAGAGAGGGTGGGGGGGGAGAGAGAGAGACTGAGACAGAGACAGAGACAGACCTGACTGAGGCAGGTGTTTTGTCATCAGGATGTGTTGTGCAAACTGTGCACAGAATGGACCCTTAGCACTTGAGTGGGGGCAGACAGTCAAGTGCAGTGCCGCAGACAGGCAGACGGCTGAGACACGGCCAGGGTCCTCCAAGGGCACACTGCTTTTAAGATGGGTGCACAACACTGACCAGGACAGTCTGTTCTCTGTCATAGCATGTCCCCTTACCACAGCACAGTGTGCGAAAGACCTGTGACAGTATGGAAAGCCACAGGTGGGTTTGCAACACGCTTCGATGTCCTCCTGCTGAGAGAAGCCCTGGGAAAGAGGCCTACTTGGAAGAGAGTGACATGAAAGTATGGCCTTTCCCCTTTGCAGGGAACCAGCTAGGAAGGAAGTTGGTCTCTGTAATGTTTGCATGAAGCTACACGAGAGCAGAGTTTAGAAACATGATCCTGTCTATCTTAATCTGGGGAAAGAACAAACTATAGGCAACGCAGAAGCAAGAAAATTATTAAAGTGAGACAAGATATTTGTAAAACAAAAAAACAGCCGCATAAGAAAGGAGCAGAACCAAAGATTGTGAAAAATGGTCAAAGAATTGGCATTCTGTGGTTAAATTAATCAGGCAGGAAAGGCCTGCAGATGTATAATGGATAATAAGGAAATTCTGTCTCTCAGAGATGGGCAGAGTCCCAGACTGACACAGGAGAAAGACAATGTTTGATCTGTTCCTCATCTGTTTGGGAAAATCCAATTTTGGAATTGGAACTTACAGTCTTAGTCCCTGGCTCCCAGCTCCAAGCCAGTTTTCCCTGTGAACCCCCATGCAGGAATGACGGGGTAACTTCTCAGGAACCTCAGCAAGGAGAGGGCGGCCACTCTCCTCCAAGACCTCATGACTAATCACTAGGCCATCAAGGACTGTGCGCATTCCTGTTCACAACTAGAGCTCTGAGAAACAGAGCTTCTCCTGAACACTAGCCAACTGTCCTGCCCACACCTCCTCTCTCTGCAATCTATAGATCCAGCCCAACTCCAACGTACATCCTAAGAATTTGGGGGGACTGGCTGACAAACCAAAACAATGCCAGTTAAAGAACTAAGGTGGAGGACTACGACCTGGTGGTAGCCAGATCCCAGTAGAAGCCGCAGTCAAGCTTCATTGGAAAACTGAATGGACCACAATATCCTTAAAGCCTGCCCTGTGAGTGCTTAGACCACAGCACTCAAGTGCTTTGGCAGGGGTCCTCCAGCAGAGTGTGCTCAACCCACGGGACACTGGGATGAGGGAGACAGACTGCTGCAGGGTTAGCTCGTTTTAGATCAGTGTCTAAATGTAAAGGCCAGAACCAGAACAGAGTGTGTGCCTGAGACTCCTTAGGATGCAAAGAGAAATACCCTACTGGGCTGGGGAGACAGCTCTGTCAGTAAAGTACCTGCCACACGAACAGTGGGACCTGAGTTCCATCCACTGAAGCCTCACAGAAAAACAGGCATGCGATACGTGCTCGTAATATCAGTACCAGGGAGACAGGCAGGCAGGCCCCTTGAACTCAGCAGGCAGAGTTCTGAGTTTGAGGCGGGCCAGGGTTACACAGTGAGAGACCTTGTCTCCAAAACTAAAATGGATAGCAGCTGAAGAACCAGGTCTTCGTTGTCGTCCCACATGTGTGTACGTGCACACCCACAAGGACACAGAAGACACTTCCAATGCCAGGAAAGCTTGACAGTCAAGTCTGCTTCTAGGGGCAACAGACACCACAGTGCCTGTCTCTGAAGCCCCTGTCAGCAGTGGAGGCCACCGACTTCACAGAGAAACACATTAGCAGGGTGCACTCAGAAGGGTGCTGGGCAGGGGCAGTCAATGAGGGAGCACAGCAAGTCTCTTGCTTCTTGCACACTGGCCAGGCCTGAGGCTGCCTCCCAGAAACGGCTTCGTTTCTTACAAAGTTACAGGTGCGCCCACCGGACTTACAGCCGCTATTCTCCCCAGAGTGCACTGGGGACATTTGGCCACAGACGCAAGGAAAACATTGCTGCTTTTAGTATAAGAACATGTAGGGACACACCCAGGCTTAAAGGTGACTTAGAAGCACTGCTGAGCCCCCCACACAGTAGTGTGGGGCGTGGTTCCTACAGTGCTAAGTGTGGAGCAGGACATATGCTGAGAAGTACCCTGAGGGACTGTTCCAGAACAACAGGCCACAGTGAAGCTTCTGTCACTCAGCAGCAGCACGGAGAGCCTAGACACAAAGTGACCTCAGCAACTTCAGAGGTGAGCAAACTGCTTTGCTCCAACAGAAGCCTGAGGTCAGACAGTGAAGACTGAAGCAGGCCTGGTGAGATGGCTCAGCGAGTAAAAGCGCTTTACCACACAAGCCTAGCAGCCGGGGGGATCCCCAAGAAGCAGGAGAAGGTGGAATAAGAACCATTCAGAGTCATCCTCCCACCTCATACCTGTCCTGGAGGACACAGGACTGGCCAGGTTGGGAAGGGCCTTTGTATGTCTGAAAACCAAATGCCGTAGAGATAGGTCCCTGCTGACTGCAAGAGAGAACGGCAACACTTTGAAAGGTAGAGCCTAGGAGGGAGGGAAAAGCTCTAGGAGCCAATGATAGACCTGCAGAGCCTCTCAGGACACACTAAGTGGAGGTGGAGTGCGGGCTGCCAGCGGCCCCGTCCTGTGTGCCGGGAGTGGATCTCAGGAGATACTGCATTTACCAAGTATGTAAAGAATCCTCGCAGTCTCCCCCGTGTGTTTGTGGGTGTGCCCACATCTGTACATGGTAGAAACAGTGAGGCAATGCCAGAGCCTTTGCAAGGAGTGGGACGCGGCCTGGTGGGCTTGGCTGCCCTGTCCTGTGGTGGGAGCAGGGTCAGAGCTATGCTGGCACTGTGCAGTTAGACATGCGCAGAGTAGGCCCAGGCTGCCTCCTCCTGAGCTATCAGATGAAGCAGGTGTGTGCAGGATTTGACAGATAATTTCCTATCTTTTGGCGTGGATAAGAAAGCAATATAGACTTTCCTACAGGCTGCCCTTGGTAGTTATCTTGGTATTTTCAATGCAAATAGAGTGCTCATTGTTCATTAAATGCCAGACATCTCCCCAGGACTAAGCTTCCACTATGGAAAGGCTGACTTCTGGATAGTTTTAGTACCCCGTGGATATACAGGCTCAATTGACTGAAGGATTACAGCTGTCTGAGGTGTGCACATGAGGCTGGAACTGTACTCAGCTGGCAGAGTGCTTGCCTAGCATGCCATACCCTGGATTCAGTTTGCCAGTACCACACACACCGGTTCTGGTGGTGCATCCTGTAATCCCAGAACTTGGGAGGTGGAGGAAGGAGATCGGGAATTTAAGGTCATCCTCAGCTACAGAGCAAATTCAAAGCCAGCCTATAATATATGTCTCAAAAAGAACAAAAGCGGCCACGTGGGGAGGCCCTTGAAACAGACAAGTTCAGACTGCCTTCCTGTCGCGCTGCCTATGCCCTGACGAGAGCACTTCCCTTTCAGAAGTCCCCATGAGAAGAAGAAGAAGCGGAGATCACGGTCTCGCACTAAGGCCAAGACCCGGTCCCAGTCAACATCCCCGAGCAAGCAGGCGGCACAGCGTCCCTCAGCCCACTCGGCCCACTCAGCCAGCATCTCTCCTGTGGAGAGCCGAGGTTCTTCCCAGGAACGCTCCAGGTAACCGTGACCTCCGGGCAGCTCTCAGTGGGAAAGATCGAGGGCAGGCAAGTGAGGCCTGGGTAGCACTTGCTGTGAACACCTCAGACAGGAACCCATGGGAGCACCTCCTCCCAACCCACGCCTTCCCAGGCTTTCAGATTCCTTCCATGGGTAAAAGAGCTCCTGAGGTTCCGTGCAGGACTTACTGGGTCTCGGTGACAGACGGTCTCAGGAGGCTGTCTATCCTTGCTGGAATTGCATCTACCTAACAATCAGGCCTTGAAGTCTGGGGAATCTTGAGTCCAGGGCTGGCCATGTGAGGATAAAGTCTGCGTCCTTGGTAGAGCTTTTGTAAGTGTGAACAGGGCATACTCAGTTCAGACATGTTCATGGCCACTCCGTGAAGAACACAGCTCACCTAAAGGTTCCACATCTGAAGGCTGCCATCCCGGAGTGAGTATAGGAAGCCCGACCACTAGGACATGGGGTGTCTGCATCCGCAGAAGCTTTTCGTGTGAACCAAGGGTCACTTGGGCTGTGGTTCTGCTCCTCCTGGCCTTCCTGATAGGTGCCTCCCTCATTAGCCTCTCTTCCCAAGCATTTGTGCAGTGTTGATGTTAAACGGGAGTTGGGTTCATCTTGTGAGGTGGGCGTGAAAACACATGTTCCTGGGATGGGTGAAGGCTTGGATAAGTGCTCATAGCACAGCATGGGGACCTGCAGTTGCAGCAGGCTGAGGTGGAGATGGGAGGATCCAGCGCCGTTCAGTCCGGGGGAGACACCCAGTGTCAACCTCTGCCCCACGTGCACACACAATGTGTTTCTAAGCTTGTTGCTATTTTACTGTAGTTTTAGAGAATAGGGTGTGGGAACTAGCCTTCAGATTCGTGAGTGTTTCTGAGCCTACGCTCTTTCCTATGCTCTAGGGGGGTTTCTCAGGAAAAAGATGGCCAGATCTCCTCAGCGATCGTCTCCTCTGTGCAGAGCAAAATAACTCAGGTAAGACGGGAGTGCACCTCTCCTTTTCATCTTTTATTACGGGGCTCCATTTTTGTTTTCTCTTTGGCTAATTTTCCTTCTTGCCCCTTGTTTCACCAACACTGACTCAGGTCAGAATCTTGGGCTGGTCACCTATTGACTCAGTGGTTTGGGTCCTGCTGCAGCCAAGCGCTAGGTCAGGGAAGGGGGAGGAATCACTTCCTGGGGGAGCCTCATCTTCCACAGGAAGTTCATGTCCTCTTTCTGGGGTTGCCATGCGGTGGGGCCTGAGTCTTCCGCAGGTGACTGACACGTCTTGGGCCCTGCTTGTACTCCCGGGCCACGTGGGGTCACAGCTGTGGGAGGTTTGTGACAAGACAGAGAGGTGACTTCGGTTCCTGTGCAAGATGTAATGGGTTTAAACAACTGGGCTGTTTGCGAGCTCTGCCTCCTGTCCTCGCCATGGCCTCCTCACAAATCTGGTTAGCAGGAGGCTAACTTGTCCCTCCATGTCTCCCCACACAGGATCTCATGGCCAAAGTAAGAGCAATGCTCGCAGCTTCAAAAAACCTGCAAACCAGCGCATCCTGAGGTGGCAGCCACGGAGCCAGCCCCAAGCAGAGTATCGGGCAGGCGCAGCTGTGGCCTGGCTGTGGTCACAGGTGCTGGACTTTGGCTCAAAGCATCCCCACCCCAGCCACAACCTGAGCTGCAAGCTCTGCGTCCACCTCCGCACGGCCCTCCAGGTTCTCCAGCCCGACTCCCTGGGTCAGTCGGTGGCTTTTGTAAATTTTTAGTGACATTTTCAGTTTCAGATTTTTGACCAGCAGTCTCTTACCTGTATATTTGTAAATATATCATGTTTCTGTGAAAATGTATTATCAAATAAAACAAGAGGAAACACCTTTTCTAGCTAGCAGCTGGGGGCAGCTCCTGCTTTTGGTGTGTCTGCCATTTAATGTGTGTCAGCATGTGGGGAAAACAGGACTTCTCTCCAATGGTGGCTTCTCTCTATTTGTGGAAAGGGAAGTCTCCCCTGTGGGACTCTGCCAGGCCAGTCAGTCACAAGGTGGTCCTGACATTCTGGCTCTCAGCTGCCCTGTGAAGATGCAGTTTTCAGATCCCTCCCACCCATTGCTCTCACAGAACTCATGTGTAAAGCACACAGGGTTCCGACATCAGAAATGAAGACCTGGCCCTGCTTCCATCCTGACACTCCATATGCTCAGGACTGTTCTATGCTGGCTGGATTCCCTTTCAGGTTCTGCCATGTGCCTGGCCAGACATGGGCTCCCATCAGGACACTTAGACCCCCCCCCAGAAGCTGGTGTGGGTAGGACAGGTGACGCAGTTGGTGGCTAGAAAATGGGTGTCCATGAGACATGGCCCCCAAGATGACCCAGCAAGCACTGTTGAGCAGATAGGACTGCCACCTGCCTTCGAGGCACCTGCTGGGCTCCTCCATTCCGTATCTGTGCCAGATATGCCCCGTCGTCTTCACCAGGCTGGTGGTGGCCAGCTCTGTGTGTCCCTCATGTATGTCAGGTCATCAGGGCCCTGCGTCACCATCCCCAGTGGCTTCAGCTACACCTTAGAGGACTGTGTAACACTGAGCATGCCTAATCTGTCTCTGGTTCCCACTGGGCCACTCCTCCCTGTCCTCAACACAGACATCAGGGGACATCGCACACCTCACCTGCCTGCTGGGACCTCGGAGTACTGGGTTAGTCAGGAAGGTGGAGGTGCTGGCTGAGAGTGGCAGACACTACTGCCCTTGTGTGCCTAGACTCTTACCCTGAATCGGATGGACATAAGGGGTTGGTTTGTTGGGGTTTGCTTGTTGGGAGTTGACAGGGTCTCACCAAAGACAAGCTGACTTTGAACTTTTTAACTTTTTAAAGGATTTTATATGTGTGCAGAATTTTTTTTTAAGTATTTTCTTGGGTGTTTGGCCTCAAACTTACTATGTAGTCAAGGATGACTTTGAACTCCCCGCTCCTCCTGCTTCCACGTCCCAAGTGACCAGGTGTGCACCACCTTGCCAAGCCGAAAGGGGCTCCTTTTAATTTCTTACTTTTTAGTGATCAATAAAATGACATGGCCAGCCTGGTCTATGTAATTCCAGACCAGCCAGGGCTGCATGGTAAGAACCTGTCTCAAAAAACAAGGGGGGGGGGGGGCAGTCCCGGACACGACACATGGCTGAGAGATGTGACTGAGAGATGTTTCAGAGATTAAGCACCCTGGGTGTTCTTCCAGCTGTCTCTAATTCCAGTCCTAGATTTTCTGGCCTCCACAGGTAGCAGGCACGCACATGGCACGTATACACATATGCAGACCATAAACTGCTTAGTGGCTGTTTACTGCTGAGCCGTGCTCTGCATTCTGTGTTGCGGTCTGGTGCTGTCTCAGTGAGGCAGGGCTGCTGCTCAGTGCCAATCTGTGGTTGGCCATGTCTGGTTCCTTGGTGTTCCAGTGCAGTCCCCTATGCTGCTGTGCCCTTTCCCACTGTGGAAGTCCTGGGCTTGTAAGCCAGGATTAATAGTGTCAGTGGGGAAGGGGTCATCTGGGAGCCCACATGAATCTCATCTCTGATGTGCCTGTTCTGCCGTAGGAGGCCACCAATGGGTGGTGATAACTAGTGCTCTTTAGGAATTCTGTGTGAGATTCTGTCTGCTCATGACTGAATGAGGATCTTTATATCTTGGTCTTGAAATGTCCAAGAACCCTAGGGTGATGCCTAGGTTCAAGAGCTCAGCACTAGGGAACTTGTGGCTGATTTGTAGAACTTCCAAGAGCAAGACCCCAAGTGGCCTCCTCTAAACAAACCTCAAGCTAGGCAAAGCCTTGAGGACAAAGCTGTCCCCTGCCCACACCTTTTGACCTTGTCTGTAGGGATCTGATCCAGGCGCTCATGACTGTAGGCAGCTGACTGACCCTGTAGTAAAGCCACCTCCCCAGGAGAGTACACATATTGGCCCAGCAGCTGGTAATACCTGCCCTTTTCAGTTGTTCAGGACTCAGGCTCTGGGAACAGCTTTCTGTGGGAGCAGCAAGCATCACCATGTGTCCAGTGGGGGCATTCAACCTCAAGAAATGAGGTGTTACCCAAGGAAGTGCAAGGAGGCTAGGTACAGACACCCAGGGCTCATTGCACCCCATAATATGAGGCCTGGTAATTACACACATGCCCAGGCTCTAGGCAGGATCAGAGGGCTGTGTCTCCAGCTCCCCCATCTCCATTGAGGTTTCAGTGGTCTTAGACTGCAAAGGTCCCCTGAAAGACACCTTGCACCATCTCACTCCAGCAGCCTGAAAAGGCGCTGGAATTGCAGGCTCATACGCATCTCACGCGGCAGAATGGAAGGAAGCCTGTGTCCTGCCCAGGACAGATCACATGGTGATGAGTCCAGATGATGCCCTCAGCCACCTGGAAATGACCCCAGGTTCTCTTCTAGGTACTCAAAAATACATGTGAAAACAAACACATGGAATAGCTGCTAAACTGTAGGCCACACAACCCCTGAAGCTTCTGAGGACACCTCCATCATCTGGATGCAAATCTCCAGCTCCCAGAACACACCACCTGGCAGCCGAGGGCTCGCTTGTGTGTTTAGAGGAGGCCTCACTGTACTGGCCATGGTCTCTGCTCGGTTTTAATGGCACTAGCTGGGCACATTCTTCCCACAAAGGTGCCTTAAGGGATAGGCGAAAAACACAGCAGCCTGGATCTGTGCACATCTCAGAGAGAGCAATGGGGGGCCAGTGTCCAGTAAAGTCCATTGGCCGTCAAAGCATTCGGGAGCGATGCAGAGCAATGGGCAGGTCTCGGGACTGAAGGGAGGGCAGAGGTGCATAGGGAAGAAAGCAGTGTGATGGGGAAAGGGGTAAAGAGAACCAGCTCTGAGCCCTCCACAGCATTGACATTAACAGACTGGAGCCCTTGTCCATTTCCTAAGGATTGGGACTCCTTGGAGAACTGGCTAGTACCAGGACTGAGCAGGAAGGGCCAGGCTCACAAGTGCCCAAAGTGACTGACATCTTGGGGGGGGGAGCTTACCAAAGGAGCCAACTGAAGAGCCCTCCCAACAGAGCAACATAATTAATATCGCATTAGGTTCCAGCATGAGTCAATATCCATGAATTCATGCTGGTGGCCATAAAACACAGCCAGGTAAATGGGGAAGAGACAAATGAGCGCACTCCTCCTTCAGACACCTGCTGTCCTCAGGTCAGCTCACAAGCCAGAGGGCAGATGGCCCTCAAGCCCACTCGCATATCACACAACAGCAGTGTGTGCTGGGCCATTTGTCACCATGCGAACATTACTGAGCACGTTTAAGACAGCTACAACACTGCACACACACACACACACACACACACACACACACACACACACACAGGCAATGCCTCCCCTTCCTCACAGGGAGTATGCAGCAACTCCTTCCCAAGAAATGGACCCATGTGAAGAACATCACAGAAAAGACACCCTGACCATGTGCTCAAGGCCACCACCCTCCAAGGTAAGTCACATTTTTTTTTCTTCTTTCTGAGACAGGGTCTCCCTGTGTAGCCCTGACTGTCTTGGAACTCACTCTGTAGACCAGGCTGGCCTTGAACTCAGACATCCACCTACCTCTGCCTCCCAAATGCCAGGATTAAAGGCAGCAGCAGCAGCCGCCACCACCACCACCACCCTGCTAAGTCACAGATTCTTGCCTAGTGGAATATAAATTCTGCTTGACTTCTTTTCTGCAAACTCATAGACATGGCAGTGCACCACAGAAAAGCACTGGGTTGCTGGTAAGAAAAATTGGAGCCAAGTCTCAGCTAGTGACACTGTACCAGACAGTCTCCCAAAGTAAGCTTGAGCTGCCAAGGGGAGGCAGTCACTAGCTGTCATGTCCTGCCCAGTTGAAATCCTTGGACAGCAACATTAGGGGAAACTCGGTTGCCAGAACCATTTGTTAAATCTTTTAATTTTTAAGTCAGCATCTCACATAGTGCAGCCTGCTCTAAAATTTGCTGTGTGGCCGAGGCCGGCCATGAACTCCTGACCCACCTGCCTCTATCCCCCAAGTGCTGGGATTACAGCCATATGCCACCATACCCACTTACTGGTTAAATCTGATGGAAGGGCCCTTAACTGCCCATGAGCAGTGGCAGCGTAAGTGGTTGTGGTACAAGTTAGTGACAAAGCCCAGAACACACTATTCTGTCTCCACAATATCTCTATGACTCTAAATATTCTAAATTTAGAATCTCATTGTAAAAAACCAAAAAGCGCATAGATAGATACAGACCGCACATTCCAAGGCTGTCAACCAGGAAGGCCAGTGCTCTGACGTCATGAGACAGGAGCACAGCACCACACCTGACACCCGTGTCATGGGCATTCCAGAGCCACCCGGCCTGTACGGAACCTAGGCTTCGTGAGTGTGTAGGAAGGATGGGGCCGTGGCTTCCCTGAGATACACGGTCTCGGCTCCACGTGAACGAGGCAGGCGTGGCACTGTTGGCAGTGTGCCTGATAGACTCGTTCTGCTTCAGGGCTCCCATGATTGGGCTTCATAGCTGATTTCCAGAATGTCTTATGATTGATATTCGGTTATTTCCTCTACAACAGATAACTGGGCATCTGCAGAACACTTGCAAAGGCAGTATTTATAGCTGACTTTAATAAAGGCAAGAGGGCAAGACATTTCCTTTCTCATTATTGCTTGAAACGAATAGTTCTAGAATGACATGTTAAAAGACATGTGAAGGTGATGGCCACGGTTCTTCGTGGAGAGCACTGTCTACCATGTACTTGGGTGGTCAGGGAGGGAGGCAAGACATTAGATTTGGACAATGGGTTGGAAGGTCTGCTGCTTGCTTATTAACAGGGGTGTCCAGGAAGCCTGTGAGAAATCAGAC